TAGTATATCACTATTAGAATATTGAATATCTATATATTAGAATAGTATATCACTAGAAGAGCTTAGCCAGAGGTTGTGGAATCACCATCCTTGGAAGTTAGAGACTTTTAAGGCTTGGCTATGCAAAGCCATGACTGACCTAACCTAGTGCTTGCCAAGAGTCATGTTTCAAGCAGGAGGTTGGACTACATGGCCTCTCATGGTCACCCATTCCTATAACTCTATTTATGAAGTCCAATGCAAAGTGGTGTAGAGTGCAAGATTATAGCTATTTTGTCTTAAGTCTTCACAGAATGGTTGAGGTTGGAAGGGACCTCTGGAGATCATCTAGTCCAACCTCCCTGCTCAAGCAGGGTCCTCTAGAGCATATTGCCAAGGATCACATCTATCTTCAGCAGTAGTGGTTGACACCACACTCTACAACACTCAGTTATACCTGTAAATTACTCGGTAGACTAGTGTAACTGCTACGTGACTTGCAGGAGTATTACTGAACACTATCAATCACTTATAGATAGCAAACTGCTTTTTTCCAAGTGTTGTTTTACAGTTTGAGTTTTTGAGTCAGATTTGAGAGGGAGACAGCATGGCTAGTTATCTCTTACCAGGACAAAAATAATTCATCAGCATTCAATTGGGCTTCAAATCCTGTGGAGACTAGATAAGGAAAGGAATGCAGAAGGTCTTATGGGAGAAGGTCTACTTTCTCCTATGTCTGCATCCTCAAGTTGAACCTACAAGTTCCTCTATATTATCATCCCTGTACAATGTTTTCTGAGTCTTATCGCTTATTAGAGAAGAATTAAAAATACAAGAATCCAACTTAATCACTTAAGTTAAATCTAATTTAGTGACCACAAAGGCAAGACAAACAAAACCTGACTGCTTTGCAAAGTACCTAGGTGGCTGATGTTATAGCCAAAGTACAAGCTTAAGATGACTTTATGGTTTTATTTTTCACTGATAAACAGATGTTTGTCTTAAAAAGATAACACTCAAATTGAAGGCTACATTAATATAATTGATATTATCCCCTCTCAAGAAGGGGATTTAATAATGGCACAGTATTTTAAAATATACTTTTAAGACATCACTTATCTCTCTCAAAAGAATTATATAAAGAAAATATATAGGTAAGATTAGTATAACTAACGTGACTACAGGCTTCTGTATTTTAGTTACTTAACTGAAGACACAAAAAAGTTCAGAAAAAAATTAGTGATATGAACAGAAGATTGCTTTATACAAATTAGTCAGATTCAAGTGCTCTGTGCTTTAACAAAAGAATTTTTTTCCAATCTTATTCCTACATAATTAACATAACACACTCAATGAAAAAAATAGGAATAACTGATGAAAGTAAGAAGTAACGATCACATGAAGTAAAAACTTGTAAGTGAAGGCTTAAATTATGCCTCTCTTCAGTCAAAAATTTTTACCATCATTTAAATACAGGAAAACGTTGCAGTAAGCAGTACTGGCCTTTTTACAACATCATCCGACCAATGCTTTGCATAGTATCTTCAAGCACGTCCGGAACAGAAAGAAATCCACCTTTTCATTAGTCTGAACAAGCTACACAGTAGGACTTGCAAAAGCCAATGATCTCACTTGTTCAGAAAGCTTTTATTAACCTTCCTTATATTTTTCCCTCCTTCATAACCATCACATCACAGCCCTTTCCCCAGACCTCCCTAATGCTAGGAGATAATTGATTTTCCATACCATTTGTATGCAAATCTTTTCTTCTTCCACTACTGATCTGCTAGGAAATTTACACTCCATAAAGATTAACATCCAAAAAGATTAAAACAAAGGTCTCTCTTCACAATTGACTGAATCTAAACAACTGCACACTCTACGGTGATAAATACTGAGTTACTATTGGATTTTCTCCTCAAAAAAGAATGAGCTTGTTTATACAATATATTTTATAGAATGACTAGTACTGCTGAACTGACCCCAGTGTGCTATACAAGTTAGAAGTGAACCCAATACCTGAAAAGTCACAGATCAGTCTTAAACACTAAAGTCAATATTATAAAACACTAGAATAAGATTTTGGGATTACTGAGTTAATTTTGACTTCTAGAACTTACTTTTACATCTAGAATTCCCATTGTCCAACCTTCTAGAAAAATGAAGGCACCAAATCTGACCTCAAAGGCAGAAGCCCAAAAGACAATATTTAATCTTTTTTTTGTGTGTGTGATTAACAAAATTCTTTTCACTGAAGCTTTGTCAAAAGAGACTGAAGAGCTACAACATGCACAGGAAAAATAGGGATATGAGCGGAATAGGAACAAAAAGATTTTTTTTTTTTTCCTACAAGTACTTTTTTTTTTTTAAAACAGCAGAGTTAAATTCCCATAATTAAGAACAGAGCTGTGTCATTAAACTAGACTTTAAGATTACATTTTTGAGTACAGCATGATTTCCAAGAGGAGATGCCTCATCTGTTTTGAGACTGTTCAGCACACTGAATGCATCTAAAGGAGGCCATATCAGCTACGCTCCTTTAATTAATATAGAGATCCTTAATCTAAAAGCCTGCACGAGTGCAACATTTAGCAAATTAATTGATATCTGCTCTGTGACTTATATTTCTGAGAATTACCACCTAACTAGTGTCCCACTTATTCACTCCTGGTACACAAAACACAGCTGGAAGATTAGTGCAAGTACTAGGAAGAAGAGCTGCAATCCTGCTCTTCAGTATAGAATGTTAAGATCTCACAACCTGGATGCAATAGGAGTGCTGTGCAAAACCATATTATATTTTATATGCTTGCTTTACGCATCTTGGAGAACACAATGCCTTGGACCAAACTGATCATGCAGTAGAACTGAATGCGGGTCTACCTCCCGCCATGCAACAACAGCTGTGCACCTCTATTGCCTAATCCATTTGGATAATCTGCAGGCTAAGGCAAATCATGGTCCCGTTTCCCTGCCTTTCAAAGCTCTGGGGAAATTTATAGATGATGATGCGTAATCAGGACCTAGCATAAGGAAAGCCAGATGTGTAAAGTATAGAACCTGACCTTATTGAATACAATTGAAGATGGAGAAGGAAAAAAAAAAAAGAAATAAAAACAGCCAGTGATATTAGTGACTGAAGTAGAAAAAAACACACAATTACTTTATGTGACCAAAAAGACACACTTGTTTTTAAAGAACACAAGAGAATTGCTGAGCACTTGTAGGCACTGAAATACAAAGTCAGCTTTTTAAGTCCTAAATACTGGTTTATGAGCCTAACTTCAGTTTTGAAAATCTTAGCTCTAAGTAAGGTAGAAAATAAAGCAAAGTCCATAGATTTCATAAAGAAACGTAGTGCAGCACATAGCTTTGTTGCATTTGTCGCTGATCCACAGTTTGTTAAACTGGAGGCTTTTCTCATTCATTTGGAACCACTGTCAGATAAAAGTTTAGGCTTAAAAGAACCACCATTAATTAGTTATGCTCCAAAAAAAAAAAAAAAAAAGATAACCAACAGCAAAAGAACTTGCTATTATCACAGATGACAGAGCAGTAGTATTGAAACTAACACTTACCAATTGCAAGGCCATCACTAAAATTGTGTAGTCCATCTCCCATAATCACCATCCATGCCAGAGTTGCTATCCCAGCATCCTTCAGTTCTTCACGTGAATAGCGCTGACTGTGACTATGTGGGTGATGGTTCTGGTGATGGTGATGATGTAGAATGTGATGGTAGTCATGGTGATGATGACTAAGATGATCCGTCTGTCCTAAAGTATCATGCAAGTGAGAGTGACATTTGTTTCTACAGCCCCTGGATACATATTCATTGTCAACCTCTTCTTGATGAGAACGAGCTATCATAACTTCTTCTTCTTCTTGTACTGCTGGTTGCTGAGAAATGAAGGGCGGTGGATCTTGTGAATCTGTCCCTAGGTAGCCCTCAGGCCCTGTTACAAAAAAAAACCAGAGTGTAACATTATACACTTATTAGTTTAAGTTTAAAGTTTAGGATGAAACCCCAGCAACTTGTACCAATAATTTTTCAAGCATTCCCACGACTTATTTTTCATGAGTCAGATTTTTTGAGGTTATTCCCTTTACTGCAAAACAATAAACTTAGTTTCTCAATCTCCTACCAAGAAAGCACTCCCCTACACTGTAGCCATGAATACTTCATAAAAAAAAAATTAAATAAGAAAATAAAGAGGTTTTCAGATAAGACCTAGTGCAATTTAAGTACAATAGCATAGGGCTCTTTGTGTCTTATTTTCACAGCATGAAGGCCGTTACTTAATTGCTTCAGAAAAACAAAGCCTGAAGAGCATTTGCCATTTATTTATCCTATGGATAATGAATAAGAATGCAAGAGAGCAAGGTTATGTTATATCTATAACTTTGGCAACCTTCTTGAATATCATATGGAAATAATTGGTTATATGCAAGTTCTTAAGCTTGAACGCTTGAAAAATAAACACTCAAATATAAAACTACCAGTACAGACACCCCAAAAATACAGTCCTCAAACATTAACAGCTATTTGAACTGACTCGTAATATTCCTAAAACTTGTTAAATTCTTCACCTGCAGCTGAATGAACAAAAGGACATTTTGTCTGCATCACTGACAATTCATTCTTTACTTACGAAGTTATTCTGAAAAAGTGAAAGCCTTTTTAGCATCAACACCAAAAACAAATAGGCTTTCTGCAAAACATCTTCATTAGTGGAAATAACAAGTGGTAATCTTAACAACTGAGTTCCAGTTACAGCTCAGGCAAAGTTTCTGCTCAAAACTGCACTATCCTATAGCATGTGCAACGTTGGATCAGCATCTAAAATTTTAAGTCTTCCTAAGAGAGCATGCATGGGATGTTATCAACTGTAGTAGAAAACACAGTCCCAAGTCTGATTTAAATCATTAAATTCTTGCATTCTTAAGTACAAAAGGACATTTTGCTTTCTAAATCTCTAAGCAGAACAAGACAATTCACATGCTAGAAACAATGTTGCTACTTAGTTACAGGTAGGAAATGTTGCTTCTTTATAATAAGCTCTCAGGATTTAAGCAAGGAGAACAAACTACATCGGGAAATGGAGGAAAAATACCCTCTTCTCAGACTATTTTGATATTGTTCTACTGCAGTAAATTGACTCTAGTTCTATTTTCCTCTTAAGCTGAGGCCTGAAGACTTAAATTATAATACAATAAGTTATAATGTAATTTTCATTTCCAAGAGTTTCAATTCAAATATAGTCCAATTATAGCAGACAGAACAAAGTAAAAGTCTCCTGGGAAACTAAGAGGCAAACAGTTACATCAAAAATTTCTCATGTACTAATCAGAGAACACCAAACCCAGGATTTAAGACTACAAAGCACAGAGATACTGTAAGTCTAGTTTTCTATACTGTCATCCTACTCACTTGATTTCCAATAAGCTCATGTCAGAACTGTGTGAACACAGAGGCAGGTCGTGATTCTTAAAATAGATACTAGACATGAAGTCTGCTTGAACAGATATCACAATTTTGCACAAGCCTTTCTGTAACAATATGCCAATTTTAAATATCACTCATGCAGAAAATGATGCGTTTTGGTCACAATCCATGCCTTAATTTGCTGAACAAGATTAAATTTTGGGAATGATGCTGGTGACTACTCAATGTTTATTCGTATTGAAACACAGGAATTTTTCAAACTGGATACTTCAGTAGACAAGAAAGCAGTATTGAAAGCAATTTACAAACCAATAAAAATTGTTTCAGAATTTTATTGTAAACTAGTATCAGAATACTTTAGCAACAAGAGCAGACAAGTATCTAATAAGGTGTGTTTTTGCTTATAGCTGATATTGGACTGCAAATGATCAGGTTTTCTCAATGTCTCAATTAACTTCTGGAATTTTAGATTATCAACCTTAAAACTAAATAAATATGCAAAACAACCAATCCTGGATTTTAAGACATGCATGGTCTCTTCTTTAGATTTCTACACACAATGTCTAACAGTCTAACATGAGAAATGTAGAGGGAACTACATATATGCCTTTGGTCACATACAGTATTTTAACTCTGCTGTTGCACATCAACAACTGTGCAATAATATTACTGAGACTTACGATCATCTGTATCTAACATTTCTTCATTCGCTGAAAACTTCTTACTTTCTCCATCATCTTCATTTTTTTTCTTATTCCAAAAGAAAACACTGTAGTTATGAATATGTTACTTATTTTTCAGGATATACATGAGCAACATGATATTCACAACATTTATGCAAGCCTACACAGAAGGAGGACAACATGGAAGCCATATAAAGAATGCAGAAGAGGACTATTAGAAACTCAGCTAAGTACAGTAAAAAAAAAAAAAAAAAAGAAAAAAGAAAAAAAAAGAAAAGTTCCTCAGACTGCAAAGGAGGGGCAGGGAAACAAACATAATTACCAATTAATTGTGTGTAAGGGACAGCAGAAGTTCATCTGAGAAGTGAAATGCACCAAATACTGAACAAAAGCAATTCCACCAGCGTTGTGTGTGTGTTTTTTCTTTTTTTTTTTTAAAAATATTGTATGTCAGTGTTAACAGTTTTTAAAATGTGCTTAAGGAAAACCAAGTAAAATCTGTAAAATCTACAATCATCTCTGACCAATGTATGTATCACACCAATTTATGATCAGTGACTTAATATCTAGAAAACAGGAAATCCATTCCCATGGCTGAGAGATAAGGAACATAGCAAATATTTCCCTTGCTTGGAACTCTTCAACATCTCTTAATGAAGAAATTTAACTACAGATAAATTTAACTAGGGAAAATGATACTGTCACTCACAGTTATTTCAGCTTACTTCTGTATAAACCACTCCTGCCCAACACAACCTCCTGTGACCAAAGCTGAAGAGCTTACATGGCAATTTAGACTGCAGCCTTAATGACAGATTTAAAAATAAAATCTGGAGACAGAGGCTATGTGGTAGCCTCGAAACTAGCTTTTTCTGAGCTTTCTAAATAACTAGTAGTTAAGCTTTTCTTCAAGAAAAGTAGTAAACAAATCCCTGACTTTTACTGAATAAGACATCATTATCTGTGTCTTTGCTGTACTGGCCTTTACTGGAGTTACCAACATTTACAATCCATCAAAATCATACTATTCTCTACCTTCCACATAAAGCGTAACCATAATAATCCAAAACCTGTATAATTCTCTTCTTTTTTGGAGAAGAAAAGGAAAGACTAGAAAGGAGGGACCTAGGGGGAGGAAAGTCTGCATTTAGAAAGTCATTACTTTTTATAAGGTAGTCAGATGCTTATTTGTGGTAAGTAAGAAGTTACTGCCACCGTCACCCATTTGGTGCAAGTGCCCCCTCCAATAGAAGGGTGGTATAACTGCATGAGGTCTCTTACTTCATCTGATATAAGAGTTTAAAAAATAAAAAAAGCAGATAACTATCTCCTCGAGAGGTCAGAAGGAAGTCAGTAACAAGCAGTAATTTCTCAGATCACTAACTGAGATAACAAAGGGTGTACTTGGATGTTTGCTTATTAAACAATTCACTGTGGTGTTAAGCCTGTACTACTTGTCTGGTTAAGGAAATAGCTCTCATAATTCCTCCCTACATGACTACACACACACACACACACACACACCACAAACAAACTTGTTACAATCTAGTTTGAAAGAATAAATGTGGTTAAACTAAAATTGTAACACTAATCAATTCAGCAAAAATTGGCTTGCTATTAAATCCAATCAATAGTCAGATATATACATAAATTTTTCTTTTTATGAGAGTGTATTGAGAAAACATCATGCAATAAAGCTTCAAAATATATTTTCTCTACCTTTTTCTTCTTGTCTTTAAACTGCTTTATTAAAGTGATCAAATGCTCCACTAGAAACATGAAATATAAGCCTCCAAGTGCTGTAAGTCCCTTCCATGTAGAATCCAGGTAAGCACTCTCTTCTATACTTTGAAAAACAAGATGTTTGAAGAGAGAGCCTTTGTTTTGTTCAGGTAGAGTTTTTTCATGGTGATGGTGATGGTTTCCATGAGACTAAGGGCAGAGCCAAATGAAGAAAGTCATTATATTCAGAAGAACCAAAAACATAAGAAAAAACAAACATAGAAAGTACTCCTCACATTATTTTTCCCCCCTCCTTAAGTCCAGACTTACCATTTTAACTTGCAGGGCACCTTGTGCACATTCACACATACACATTCAGATTTTACATGGACTTTACAGGACAAGTTCAAAATTACTTGAAAGAAAAAGGAAGAACCCTATAAAATACAGGCAGGGCTCTGAACCCAGCATAGGATCTGTAGTCCTTTCCAGTGCATTTCAGCCAAAAGCCAGAGCGAGTTAACTTTTTGGGGGGCTTCTGCTTATGAAGGGCTTCAAGAGAGGTAGAAATTTAACAACCATTTCATTCTTAATATTACATAAAAGTAATAAATAAATTCAAAGCCTATCAAGTAATGTTTTCCCAGAACCTCAGAAATACTCAGTTCTGATCAAAACATTACAACAAATAAGCAATTAATATAAGTGCTGATTTCCTGTTCTACATTTAAAAGATAGTGAGTCACCTCTGCTAACTATAAAGATTGTGAAACTGGAGGGGAAAAAAGAGGTGGCATTGCAATAAAAGCCTAAAAAAACCATTTTGTATAATTCTTATGTGCAAGAAACTATGAATTTGCAAGGCTGATTTGGCAGCACATATGAGTGAAAAAACATAGGAAAGATTGAGGGATCATGGTATGAAGTTTTTACACTGTAGGGAATATGAAATGAATAATATAAACAGGTTCAAATAACGAGAAACCTTTCTATCTAATAGTCTACTTCACAAGGTTGAGAAATGACTCATTGAATAGGTGTTAATAGATATTTAAACCATCAATAAAAACTACAGTCAGATGTCAAATTTTCTGTTTTGAGATAAATAATGAAATAAACACTTACATGTGGAAGAAGATGTAAGAAAGCATCTCCACTTAAAGTTCCAACAGCCAATGCCACAAGAAAACTTAGGAGAAATTTGAAAAATACGCGATTCATCAGAGGTACCAATATAACACCCAGTAAGGAAAGAAAACTGATGACAGAGATTGATATAAAGCCACCAATCCAAGCTGGTAAAAGAGACAAAGAAGTGTTATATGAGATTTTAGTTGTTTAACATTCCTGTTATCAAATACTACTGAACATTTGATTAATCTGAGGTTAACAAATGGTACAGGGTGAAGACTTCTCTATGAGGACTTCTCTCTAGATATAGAGAGGAGAAGCACCAAAAAAATGTTATTGCAATGCTGAAGCACGCTTCTAAAGTTTTAGAACTAAAATAAAGGAGGGTCCAGGAAGTTTTTATTCCATACTTAAAAAAACAAATCAAAACAAAAACAAAAAAACAAATGAACCTACCTATTTGCAAAGAGTAGCCTTTTGGAGGAGTTTCAGCTTTTTCACTGGTTGCATGGACTATGCAGTATTTGCCATCAATTTGATTAATAATAGCTGGACAGAGATAACTAAATTCTGTAGCAGTCAACCACACATGAGTGCCTATTCCATGGGACTGCATCAGTTTTGATGCATTGGAACACTGTGGAAAGAGACATAAAGACTAACCAGAAGCAAAATACCGTGATAACTTAGGACATATGGGTCTTTTAAGATAACTGTAAATACAGTGATTCCATATGAAAATAGCTCAACAGTAACTGAAAACTGGTTAAAAAAACAAACCAAAAAAAAAAAAAAAGTCACACAATGCAGCAAGAACTTCCCACACAAATCAGTGTTATATATAGCCTCTAACTGGATTTTTTCTTTGTTAAGAGCTGAAGTACAGCTGTGCTTTTCTCCTCCTCTCCCCACATTCTGGCCCAGAAAGCTAGCTTGGTAGTTCTGCTAGCTGATGCATAGTTATCAGCACAAGCAGATCAGATGCTCTGTTGTTAGATTAGAAGTTTAACATTTTTGCCTCCCATTTAGAGAGGCCATATAAGGAAGTAATAAGAAGGTTAAAGACCTTTTAATAGAAGTCATTACTATGGAAAGTCTCACACAAAACATGTTCTAGATGTACTTCCTCCAGCAAATGTTTTCCTACTGCAAGACCTACAGTTTTGGGAGGTTCAGTAATTACTCTTTTGGCTCCTGCAGTATTACTTCAGCTCCAATTATGCAGAACATAGTGAGACATTTTTGCAAATTTTGTTATATTTGAACTTTTTTTCACAGGTTAACCTAATTTTGCTTTTATTTTGTCAAAGGGAGAATTTATTAAAACTAGTAGCATCTGCTACCATCAGCTGGTTCCTTCCTGTTTCCCAACACTCCACCCACTCCTCTGTTACAGTATAGCATAAACTGAAGGTGCATAAGATGAGCTAAACACTTGAAGTAAGAGTGGACAAAGAAGGAAGTGGAGAAGAAAGGAAAGAGGGTGTCAGTTACTTCCCTACAATTCTATGCTATCTACCATAGGAATATCTAATCCTTGTGAGGCAGTACTTTAAGATCTGTGCAATCACTTTTTTTTTTTTTTTGTTTTCACCATATCATTTGGAAAATAAGATTAGATTATGGCTTTAAGGCATAACAAGTTGAACCAAAAGAATTTACTATATTTTCTACTCACTATATACTACTAATAAAATTTAATGCCAAGTTACATCTATCTAAACAAGAAGCAAAAAGGTAATACAGTTACTCTAAAATTCTAACAGCATTCACTTATTTCCAAGTCAGGGAAACACAATACTACGCTAGCTTTTTATGCTATACACTAGCAGGAAAACACAAGCTCTAGACGCAAGGTCAACAATTACTACATACTTACGTGTCTGCTTGGATACACTTACACAGTGAGATATTTATTTTGAAAAACAGTATTATTAAGTACCTTCACTTCCCTTGATGCTTTTACATGAGGAAAATACAGAAGTCTTCCTACAACATATTACAAACTTTTCATATACCTGCCTAAGAACATATGATTTTCAAACTTAAAAGTTTATACTCATTGTTAATAATTTTTTTCTAAAAAGGAAAAAATGAAAAATACATTAACTATATTGTATAAATATTTTCTTCCATCTGAACTCATGAACATAATATTCATTTAAAATAAGGAGTTAAGATTCAAGAAAAATTGCATATTTTGCTAGGAGTACTGACTGTTGCACTACAACAGTTAAATGAGCATCTGCAACGAATAAGCCATAACAAAATTCCTACTGGACATCAATTCCCAAGAACGTAAAAGAGTTAGTCTCACCTCTTGGGTATTTTGGTTTTTAAATTTAGAATACAGGTAACTTCCTCTTTCTGATTCCTTTGGAAAGATAAAAGATTCATTTGCTTTTCCATTAGTGGGCCAACTTGTATTACTGCTGTCTGTCACATTAGAGCTAGTCAGACCTAAACGAGCAACTGACTTCACTTCTCCAGTTCCCAAATTCTGTAATTCAGAATTGCCATCTGTGGGAGTAGTACTGATGGATGCAGTTATTTCATTAACAGTGTTCTTGCTGCGTATGAAGTTTTGCTCATGTTCTACATTTTCTACTTTGTGCAGTTCGTGTAAGTGTCTGTTCCTGGGATCTTTGTTAGCATCATATTCACGGTTTGGGCAAACAGTCTTCTCAGAGTTTTTACTCGATGTAACGTAGTTATGATGAAGGTGATGATCACGGTCATGGTCTATTTTAATCCTTTTCATTTTATCTATACCTATGTTTCGAAGCAGTTTTCTAAATCCTTCAATTGTTAGAGTGTTGTTTTCCCCATAACGATGAAAAAGTTCTTGGAGGTGAAATCTCTGTATTAGTCCTGCCAAGTCAGTATTGATGCCAGCTGCCTTTTCTGGGAAAGTTTTCTCTGCTGTCTCTACAACAGTAGCTGTCTCCACTCCATGATGACAACTTTCACACAACAGTATGGAAAATGATAAAAGGCAAGTGACTGATACTCTACTCTCCATCGCAGTTTCCTACTAGAAAAGGAGTGAAAAATTCTGAAAAAATAAAAACTTAACAGTTTGCATACAACTGATCACCTTATCATCTGTAAGGTATATTAATAATTTGCTAAAGGATCAAAGCAAGAAGGGTCACTTAAATTTCTTACAGATCCAATATTTCTCCCAGATGTGTGGCCTCAGGCAACATAAGATGAAGCTGCATACCACAATGAGGTCATTGGCAATAAACACTTCCCCAGGTGTAAGTAAGCTTAATTTTGTTTAGCTTAGCCTAAACCCGTTTTCTAAAAGAGGTTAAAATAATGAGAGCATGCTCAGAGAAGTACCAATTTAGTTCTAGGTGAGGCTTTTCTTGTACTTAAAATAAGCTTCATAATATAGCTCTTTGACCACATATTAGCAGGGACTAAGTATTTTAAGGGACACGCTTCTGCTAAAAAAATCAAAATTCCAAGCGTTCCCTCGTTAGTTTTCCCAGAACGCGGGGGGGGGGGGGGGGGGGGCGGCCCAGGCCCGCCGCAGGGCGCGGCTTGTCGCGGCCGGCCGAGGAGGAGCGCGCTGCGAAGGCTGCCGCCGCCCG